GTTTTTTATTGCTGCTTCAGTTTTGGTACTTGATATTGGTTTGTTCAGGAATTCTGTATCTTCCTGACTGAGCTTAGGGAGGCTGTGTGTTTCTAAGAATTTGTCCATTTTCTCCATGTTTTCAAGTTTATGTGCATAGACATATTTATAGTATTCATAGATGGTATTTTGTATTTCCGTGGTATCAGTTGTAATTTCTCCTTTTCATTCCTGTTTGAGCTTATTAGAGTCCTTTCTTTTCTGCTTCTGGTTAATCTAGCGAGAGGCACGTCAATCTTGTTTATTTTTTCAAAGAAGCAAGCTTTTCTTTTATTAATCTTCTGTATTGTTCTTTTATTATCGATTTCATTTAGTTCTGCTCTGATCTTGGTTATTTCTTTTCTTCTGCTGAGTTTGGGATTGGTTTGCTCATCCTTTTCCAGTTCTTTGAGATGATTCATTAGATCATTGATTTGTGATCTTTCTGTCTTTTGGATGTAGGCATTTTATAGCTATAAATTTTCCTCTCAGGACTGCTTTAGCTATGCTCCACAGATTTTGATAACTCGTGTCCCCTTTATCATTTAGTTCAAAGAATCTTTTGGTTTCCATCTTAATTTCCTCCTTGACCCAATAATTGTTCAGTAGTAAGTTGTTTAATTTCATGACTTTGTGTAGAGAAGAGTGTTTCTGTTGCAGTTGATTTCTAATTTTATTCCACTGTGGTCTGAGAAGATGCATGATATAATTTTTATTTTTTAAAATTTTTTGAGACACGTTTTGTGTCCTAGAATATGGTCAATCTTAGAGAATGTCTCATGAGCTGATGAGAAAAATGTATATTCAGCAGGTTTTAGGTAGAATGTTCTCTAAATGTCTGTCAGACCCATGTGTTCTAGAGTTCTGTTTAAGTCCATTGTTTCTTTGTTTATTTTCTGTTCGGAGGCTCTGTCCTGTTCTGTCAGTGGCCTGTTGAAGTCCCTGGCTATTATAGTACTGCTGTCTATCATTTTGTTTAGATCAAGTAGGATTTGCTTTATGAATCTGGGTACACTTGAGTTAGGTGCATAAATATTTAGAATTGTTATGTTTTCTTGTTTAATTGTTCCCTTTATCATTATATAATGACCATCATTGTCTCTCATTACTTTTGTTGTTTTGAAAAGTAAGTTATCTGATATGAGAACTGCCACACCAGCTTTCTTTTGGTTTCCATTTGCATGGAATATTGTTTTCCATCCCTTCACCTTGACTTTGAATGCATCCCTGTGGGCTAGATGTGTTTCCTGGAGATAGCAGATACTTGGCTTGTGCATATTTATCCATTCGGCCAGCCTATGGTCTCTTTAGTGGGCAGTTTAAGCCATTCACACTTATTGAAAGAATTGATAAGTAGGGCAGATTCTGTTCATCCTGTTGAGTTGAACTTTGTTGCTTTGTTTTCTCTCTTGAGCCATTGTGGCATCTGCCCTTTGACCTTTAGCTTTTGGATGGTTTTATATTGGTGAGTGTTTATTGTGCCGATCTGTGGGTAACACTGTTCTGAGTACTTCCTGGAGGGCAGGTCTTGTCTTGATGAATTCCCTTAATCTTTGCTTGTCAGAGAAGGTCTTTATTTGTCCTTCATATAAGAAACTTAGTTTTGCAGGATACAAAATTCTAGGTTGGCCATTATTCTATTTGAGAAGACTGAGAATGGGGCCGCAATCCCTCTGGCTTGTAGGGTCCCAGTTGAGAAGTCTGCAGTTAGTATGATGGGTTTTCCTTTGTAGGTTACCCGCTGCTTTCGCCTTACGGCTCATGGGATGGCCTCTTTCATGGTTATTTTGGTCAGTCTGATGACTATGTGTCGTGGTGTCTTCTTCTTTGCAGTGAATTTCCCAGGAGTTCTTTGAGCTTCTTGTACCTGGATATCTAGATTTCTAGCAAGGACTGGGAAATTTCCCTCCATTATTCCCTCAAATAGGTTATCCAACCCTTGTGTATTTTCTTCTTCACCCTCAGGGATGCCTATGATTCTCACGATAGGCCTCTTCATGTAATCCCTTATTTCTTGTAGGCTTTGTTCTTTTCTCTTATTTGTCTTCTCTATCTCTGCGACTGACTCATTTAATTGAACGGTGTCTTCAATCCTTGAGATCTTTCTTCTGCTTGATCTAACCTATTCTTGGGGCTTTCCACTGTGTTTTGTAATTCCTTGAATAAATTTTTGATTTCCAAATGTTCTATTTGATTTTTCTTTAAAATTTTAATTTCTTTAGTCAATTTTCATTCATTTCCTGCATTCTTTTTGTGGAATGAGGAGTAAGAAACACGAACTTCTTTTCGCATGAGAGCAGTGCAGTCCACCCAACTCTGCCTTTCTCCACAGAGTGGCCCAGTCAGGCTCTTCGTGCCTTACAAGAGGCGCAAGAAGGAGAATGAACTGCCCACGACTCCAGTGAAGAAGGACTCCCCCAAGAATATCACGTTGCTTCCAGCTACAGCTGCCACCACCTGTGAGTAGAGCAAGGCTCTATTTCACCGAGGGGAGCTAAGTGCATTTCCCTTATCGCGTCACCACTTGGTACGTTCGACTGTGGGATTCTCTTTTCTAACGCACACTGTGGGGCTGGAAGGATAGTCAACACCTTCTGGGCTGTGGGGTGAGGAAGGGTCCCCAGCTGAGCTCCGCCTTCCTTGCCTGGGGATGTGGGTGCCAGGCGCTGTCTGCCGTGTCCTCGGCTGTTTCCCAGGGCTGAGGATGGTGGCAGCTGTGCGGCACACGCAGTGGAAATCTCCTGACATCGAGCCCTAGTCCCTTAGCAAGTGCTCAGGATGTGCTTCCTCACGAGAGGGGCGAGGGCTGCAGGGGCTGCTGTGTGGGAGACATGTCCTGCCTGCCACCAGGCTTCTTCAGAGACGCCAGCAGTTGTGACACCTTCCTGCCTGAGAGTTCTTTCACTGTTAGTGTTAGTGGCTTTTAAATACTCTCCTGTTACACATAAACTGATGTAGTTGTCTAGGAAAGGGTGATTAGGGAAACGGAGAAAAAAAAATCTGCTTTTTTAAAACCATAACAGGGGCGGGAAGGATTTAGGGCAGGGGAGAGGCGGCAGCAGGCCACTGTGAGGTGAGGTAGCCTGGAGTGTTGCGCGTGCAGAACAGGGTCTCTGAAACACCCGCTGGCTCTCTGCGGAGGCCCTGGGTGGTACATGGAGGGAGAGTGTGGCGGCCGCAGCGACATGCCTAGTGTGCGCACGTGGCCGCTTTATACTTTCGACTTTGATGGAAGTCGTCTTCTTAATTCAGATTACAAAGTATTTTTAAATCGTTTAAAATTTTATTATATTTTTGTTTTCTGGCTAGGCAACATGTTTCCACGGCACACAATTCAAACAATAAATGGCAGCGATGGCCCACCCTACCCTGGCTTTCTTCCTGCAGGGGGCCACGGCCGTCTGCTCTCACAGATCCTTGCGATGTGGGGAATGGCGCTGTGCCCATGCCGTGGCCTGGGCTCCTGAGGCCTGTCTGAGACCAGTGCCGCTCGAGCAGCGGCTGGTGGGGGGCCTGCGAGCCGTGGCTCAGCCACCCGGCGCAGCCCTGCGTAACATGTGCTTCTGCTCTTCAGTCACCGTGACCCCCTCGGGACAGATTACTACCTCTGGGGCACTGACCTTTGACCGGGCATCCACCGTGGAGGCTACGGCAGTCATATCAGAGAGTCCCGCCCAGGGTGACGTCTTCGCGGGAGCCACAGGTGAGCTGCCTCCGCACCTGCCTGATGCGCCTGACCATTCCGTCGCGTCACGGCTACCAAGTTGGGCTGGGTAGGCTGCGGACACCCCGAGAGGGGGTCTTGGGCAAGGGCATGTTTGTTGGTGGGGGCAGCGCAGGTGCCATTAGGGGCGACGCACCAGGCAGGTTGTGCAGGCTGGCGGGGCAGGCGGGGTGGGAGTTGGTTGATTGTGATGGAGACCGTACGGCTGGGAGAGCTAGAAATACTCCCTGTCTGCCGCCTCCTGCTCTAGACTCAGACTGTCTAATGGAAATGTGAGCCAAGCCGTGTGTGCAGTTGTAAACAGCCGGTGGCCATGTGTAGGAAAGTAAATGAAATAGGTGAAATGAGTTTTTGTTATATATGTATTTGATGTGACATCCCAAATCCCGTCCAGACTCAGCACCTTTCAGGGGCTCAGTAGCCACATGTGGCCAGAAGCTGCTGTGTACAGCGAGTGGGGCAGCTGCAGGCGGTTAGGTTTAAAATCTATGCCAGCACCGGGGCTGAGGCTGCCTTGTCCTGTTTGTCACCGACAGTCCAGGAGGCTGGTGTGCAGCCCCCGTGCCGGGTGGGCCACCCCGAGCCTCACTACCCTGGCTATCAGGACAGCTGCCAGATCGCACCTTTCCCAGAAGCTGCGCTGCCAACGTCACATCCCAAAATAGGTAAGTTTGAGAGAATTCACACACATACAGGTTGTTGTCCTTAGAATTTCTAAGTGACACAGCGTTTGTTTTGGTTTGTGTGGTGTTTTTTTCTTTTTCTGTTGATGCATTAGATCACAAAATGTGGCCCCCTGCGTATGTTTGTAAATAAAGTTTCATTGAAGTACAACCATGCCCACTGATTTATGTGTTGTGGAAGGCTGCCTTGGGTACGGCGGCAGACTGTTCCCGTACAGCTCTGGCCCACATAGCCTGAAGCAGTTGTTGTCAGGCCCTGGTGGAGGAAGGGCATGTCGGCCATCATCTTCCCCACAAGGACACACACACACACTGCCTAGTGGTGGGGTCTTGGTCTCAGAGCTGGCATGGGCACTCAGTGTCTGGTGAAAGAATGAAAACACAGGCTGGGCGCAGTGGCTCATGCCTGTGATCCCAGCACTCTGGGAGGCTGAGTTGGGAGGATCACTTGAGCCCAGGAGTTTGAGACCAGCCTGAGCAACATAGCGAGACCCCATCTCTACAAAAAATAATAAAAAATTAGCTGAGTATAGTGGCATGCACCTGTAGTTCCAGCTACTCAGGAGGGTTGCTTGAGCCCAGGAGTTCGAGGCTGCAATGAGCTAGGATGATGCCTCTGCACTCCAGTATGGGCAACAGAGAGAGACTTTATCCCAAAAAACAAAATTAATAATAATAATAAAAAATAAAGAATGGAAGCACCAAGGTGTGTATCAGTTTTGACATCACACTATGTATGCATTTTGACTTTGGTTTTCATTTAACTACACATTTTGGACACATTTCTATGTCATTAAGTTTTTTTAAAAGGTGCATGTCATCAACAAATGATCGATAGAACCTTTCCATGCTGTGTTTTGTACATTCTTCACCGTTATAGACGATATAGCAAGAAACTTATTCATAAGTTTAGAAAAAAAAATATCTTCTCATTCTCATTTGCTTGTTTCCTTCATCTCTTTCTTGCCTGTTTAACCTCTTTCCATCCTTACGGCAGATCACCTCAGGTTTACCTCCTTCCCCAAGCCCCACCCTTACCTCCAGCCCCTGGGCCTCGCGCTGTTTACCTCGTCCTGATGAATCTTGGGCGGGCCAGGGCAGGGTCAGTGTCCTGCGCTGGCCAGGGTTGTCCTTGCAGGCTCTGCTCTTTGCTCAGCTGGCAGGAGGCCTGCAAGGTATTTTGTTAACATTTAAAAATTACGTTGCAGGCCGGGTGCAGTGGCTCATGCCTGTATCCCAGCAGTTTGGGAGGCCAAGGTGGGAGGATCACTTGAGGTCAGGAGTTCCAGACCAGCCTGAGCAAGAGTCAGACCACGTCTTTACTAAAAATAGAAAAATTAGCCGGGCATGGTACGGACCTGTAGTCCCAGCTACTCGGGAGGCTGAGGTAGGAGGATTGCTTGAGCCCAGGAGTTTGAGGCTGCTGTGGGCTGTAATGATGCCATGGCACTCTAGCCTGGGCAACAGAGTGAGACTTTGCCTCAAAAAAAAAAAAAAATGAAGTTGCAAACACAGTACAAGAAACTTCAAAACCCTGAGCCATTTACGAGTAAGTTGCTGACATCACTTGGAATGCTTTAGTGTGTTTTTCCTGAGATAAAAGGCAACGTTAACATCAGTGAGTAAAGGTGGCCTCTGTCCTGCCATCTGGGGCGTCGTCATTCAGAATCCTCTGGTTGGTCATCTTTCGTCTCCTCCAGGCCTGGCTGGGTGCCCTGATGCCTTGACGCTCGCAGGAGAGTTGTGCTGGGGCACATCCCTCACCTCGGGGTGTGCGTCCTTGTCAGTTGCAGCAGCTGTGAGGCTGGTTCTGCCCAGGGCTCCATGACACTGAGTTCCTCTGGTCCCATCCCTGTAAAGGTGACACAGACCGCCAGGTGAGGGTGGTGCTGGCCAGACTCCTGTGACGCGGTCACCCTTTTCTGTTGACACTGTGCACCTGTGAGGGGTACTGGATGCCTCAGAGGCCCACGCAGCCTCATCACACTTGCCGCTCATTTGTGAGCGTGGACGCCACTTCCTGCTTTGTCAGTGGGTTATTTGTGCCCCAGTCGCTTCGGACTTGGTCAGCAGGGCCCCTTTCCTAGCTTCTGGCGTGACTGGATGTTTGCAGCTCATCTTGGTTCTGCCTTCCAGGAGGCTAACCCCTTTAGTGGGGAGTGGTACCCCGGGGCTTGGTCACTGGGGCTGGAGCCACCCGTCACCAGGGCTTGTGCTGACCGCGTCCTGTCTCAGCCCGTGTCCGGCGACATCCTGCTCAGCGCTTCACAAGGACACGGTGGGCTGTTTACCCCAAGAAATGGGCAGCACGACGCAGGACTTTTCTTTGCAGAGGGCTGGAGGTTAACGTCAACAGCTCGTCTCTGGGTGGGAGGCGTGCGCACTGCTGTTGTGTGCGTGTCTGTCCCTAGGCCCTCTCACACACTCACACGCACACACACAATAACACACACGTGCACATCTGTGTTCTAGATCTGTGTGTGTTGAAAGCTGTGAGTTTGCACCCTCTCTGGTTCTAGTCCCAAACCACTGGGTTTGTTCTAGTTCCCTTGTTTCACTCTGTAACTTTCTCCTCAAACTGTGAGGAACCCGACTCCCGTCATCCTTAATAAATTCCTCCATGTGACCACAGACATCCAGGAAGGCTTTCTAGGTGAGCAGAAATGAAACCAGGAGACTTTAGTTCTTTTGTCCGCTTTGCTGTTGTTGGGATTTAATGTCGGGCCATTGCCCTCATCCCGTCATCATCCTCGGGCTGGTTCTATAAATGTTTCCTGGCCACCCCTGCACCAGGGGGACGTCCTGCTTCTCTCATGTACAGACACCCAGCTCTCAGTCTGTATTGGAGGGGGTCTGGCCTTAGCAGGTGCTTTTGGGTGGCAGCATTGGGAATTTTACAGTATGGAGCAGGAGGCAGCGGGGAGGTACAGATGTCTCCATCTCTGGAGCATGCTAGCACGTCGGACACTTTCCAACATCTGACGAGAGTTTTCCTGGAGGCCATTTTGAAGCTAGGAAATGTATTAATTTCTGGTTTATTTTGCTTTCCAAACGTTCTAGTGCTGACATCCCTGCCCGCCCTGGCTATCCCACCCCCCACCCCCACCAAAGCTGCGTCCCCCGCAGTGGTCAGTGGACTGGAGATGTCGGAGCAGCGGAGCTGGCTGTACCTGGAGGACATGGTCAATTCTCTGCTCAGCACGGCACAGCAGCTGAAGGTGCTGTTCGAACAGGCCAAGCACGCTAGCTCCTACCGAGACGCCGCCGTGACCCAGGCCAAAATTCAGGCGGACGCGGAGCGGAAAGAGGTAACGTTTGCATGTGCACAGAGACCCAGAGCCACGGCCAGGCCCACCTGTGCCTTCTGGTGGCGCTGAGGCCGGTTCTGTGGCCTCTGCATGGCTCACGAAGCCCACCGTGCCCCCAGATCATTTACACGTGAAGCCTTTCTGTAGCAAAGTGGCAGCTGCTGTGGGTAAGGTGTTTTTGGTTTGTATAAATAAGGTGGATTTATTTCAAAGGGGAATATATTTTCATACACACCAGCGATTATTTTTGAGCACTCACCTTGTACAGACATTGTTTATACCCCCAGGTTATCCTCATGTAGTGATTCCTGCCGTATATTTTATTAAATTTGGAGAAGCATCATTTGGTGTGTCTCTGCGTGCAGGTGCTGACAGGGTGCACGCTTGCCCCTGCCTGGCAGCTGAGCTCTTTCCACCTGCTGTCACCAGGTGCCACTAGGGGCTGTCCTGGGCATTCTGCTCCTGCCTTCTGGCACTTTCTTCAGAGGGCAGGTCCTGTACATGGCATGGAGCGTCAGGAAGCATCAGCATGGTTTCCTGCAGCTTCCTCCCACTGCAGCACAGGCAGAAAGTCACTTGTGCCCCTTCGGCTTCTTTTGTGTGAGCCTCGAGATTTCTCGGGGCTAGAAACGTCCAGGTAACGTAAGGGCTGAGGTGGGGCCAACGTCGATATGCCAAAGACAAGTTACTAGAGTCAGTAACTTGGAGAGAGGGAGCGGTGTTCAACACCTCTTCATGGCTTCACCCCAGCAGGACAGACAGCGTGGCCACAGGGAGTCGGGGACAGAAGGTGAGGGTGGTGGAGCGTCTTCTCGGCAGTCAGGAGCTCCCACGGGGGGACGCTGAAGCCTGTGGAAGAGGCCGGGGGCAGTGGCTCTCGCCTAGTCTCGCAGTAGTCCCAGCACTCTGGGAGGCCGAGGCGGGCAACCCCTGTGGCCAGGAATTCGAGACCCCATCTCTACGAAAAGAAAAAGAAACAACAGGAATGTATTTTTTAATAGCTGCTTTTCTGGTTTTCATAAATGTGCGCTTTGGTTTACAAACAAAAGTCAAATTGATTTTTTCCTACCAAATCTATAGGAAACTTTTTTTTCCCTATTTCTTTCTACTTTTTATAGACCAGAGGAAGAGCTTTTCAGGTTCTTGGTTTTCTAAATAATTTCTCAGTATGTGATTAATGTGTTTTCAAGGAAAAGAAATGTTGTTTCTATACCTGTAGACAGGAGATAATTTAAAAATACTTTTAAAAAAGTGTAGTTCCAAACTAATACATACTTATGCTGAAATTTATAGAAGACAAGAAGGCGTAAGGGCAAAAACAATTCTGTAGGCCGGGCGCGGTGGCTCACGCCTGTAATCCTAGCACTCTGGGAGGCCGAGGCAGGAGGATAGCTCAAGGTCAGGAGTTCAAGACCAGCCTGAGCAAGAGCGAGAACCTGTCTCTACTAAAAATAGAAAGAAATTAACTGGACAGCTAAAAATATATAGAAAAAATTAGCAGGGCATGGTGGCGCATGCCTGTAGTCCCAACTACTTGGGAGGCTGAGGCAGAAGGATTGCTTGAGCCCAGAAGTTTGAGGTTGCTGTGAG